ACTAGACTGAAATGAGGAGAGTATGGCTCAACAAAAATAGTCTTCCCCCGGCCACTTGGTTGAGCCTTGTCCCATCATCCCATGCACCGAGAGGTTCGATTCTGGGTCAGGCATGCCTGGGTTTTGGGCTCGATCCCCAGTAAGGGATGTGCAGGAGGTAGCCGATCAATGTCTTTCTCTCTCTCTCTCTCTCTCTCTCTCTCTCTCTCTCCCTCCCTCCCTCCCTCCCTCCCTCTCCCTCTCCCTGCATCTCTCTCTAAAATAAATAAAAACATATTTTTAAAAATAGCTCTCCACCCCATTACCACTGCCAATGACTGAGCACTACTTGAGCCCCCTAGAACTTAAATACAAGTTCAAGGAAAGGGAGAGGCATGACTCCAATTCAGATTACATTTCCACCACCCTCACAGTGTAAATTTGCAATCAAAATTAAGGTGTTATAGCAAAATAAAGAAGTTTTCATTTTGTGAACACCTGAATTTGTGTCCTGAGGTTCATGCTTATTGTACCAGTGATCACTAAACACTTTCTACCAGGCTGAAAGCTAAGCACTAACAGGGCTATTTAATTTGAGCCTCACAATTATAGCACCTATGAGATAAGTACTTTATTATCCTATTTAAAGATGAGAGAACGAAGCTCAGAGAAGTTGCACAGTGTGGTGATTCTCTCAACATGCAGTTCCCTTCTTCTGGCAACCAGCCTCGAATGTCCCAACCCTCTCTCAGTCTATGTGGTCTGAGCAGGGCCCCGTGCACAACTCCAGGCCTAAGATAATCACATCACTACACTCCTGAGCGATTTCTCCCAGGGAAGGCAAATGATCTGAGTTCAACTGGAGTGACTCCTGGGACTTTATAGGACCTACCACATAAGAGTTTCTGGCTTCTCCTCTGGACTTGAACTTGAGAGGCTGGGAGTCTGAGACTGAAGGCGGTAAGCAAGCAGACCCAAAGATGGAGAGGAAGCATGTGCTTGAGTGCCGAATCCAGCTGTGCCCAAAGTCACCCCTATTTTAGTCACATCAGCTGTGTTAGTTGGCTAAGGCTGCCACAACAAAGTGCCAAAAGCTGGTGTCTTGAAACAACAGAAGCTAATTCTCTGATATTCTTGGGAGTTGGAAGTTCAAAATCAAGGTGTCAGCAGGGCCATGCTCCTTCATAAAGCTCTAGGGGAGGATCCTTCCTTGCCTCTTCCTGGATTCTGGTAGCAGCCAGCGATCGATCGTGGCGTTCTTTGGCTTTGAGTCGCATAACTCCAGTCTCTACCTGTTATCACATGGCCTTCTTTCCTCTGTGACTTCCACCTTGTCTTCCCTTTGTGCAATTTTGTGTCACATTTCCCTCTTATTATAAGAATGTTGGTCATTGGATTAGGAGCCCACTCTAATGACCTCACCTCAACTTGATTACATCTTTAAGACTCTATTTCCAAATAAGGTGACATTCACAGATACTTATCTTCTTGGGGACACAATTTGACCCACAACATCAGCCAAAAAATTCCTTCTAATATGAACCATTTTGGATTGGGTTTTTGATCATTCGCATCAAGAAACAGCTAGAGTCCTGGCCAGGTGGCTCAGCTGGTTGGAAAGTCATCCCATAGACCAGAAGGTTGTGGGTTCAATTCCTGGTCAGGGCACATACCTAAGCTGTGAGTTCCATCACGGGTTGGGGCGCATACAGGAGGAACTGATCAATGTTTCGCTCTCATATCGATGTTCCTCTTCCTCTCTCCCTTCCTCTCTCTCTCAAATCAATAAACATATCCTCAGGTGAGAAAAGAAAAAGAAAGACATACAGTCAAAACTCACTACCCCAGATCTGAGTCAACAACTGAGACAGAGAGCTATGCCCTCAATCATAGAGCCAGACTCTACGCCTCTTCAAAACCCCTCTCTTCCAAAAGTCAGTGGCTATACTTGGGGAAGAGGCCCAGGGTTAACTGTCTTCCATCTGCCTAACAGCACTGCATACAACACAGTCAAGGGACAAGAGTGATTGCTATCTAATTAATTAACCAAAATTCATTAGCCATGGTTTATCATAGGGCACTAGGCTGAAAGATGGCCAGGATTTTTATCTTGGAAATAAAAAGTTATTGATTGCCCGCACTGCTGCCTTTCAAGATCTCCCCTTGATTTTGAGAGATCACCTCAGGTGGTGATAAGAAGAACATGTCCCCCTCCCCAGACATTTAATTTTCAAAATAGACCACCAGCCATGCCCCTTTCACACGCATGGCCACGTTTACTCCAGGGCCTGTGAGAAGGCTGTCATTTCAGCTTGTTACACTGAAAAGGTGAAAGTAAAACTGATGTCTGTAGAATCATTTTAAATGAAAACTGCTTCCTAGAGGCAAGCTAAGGAAGCAAACTGATTGAAAGAGAGCACAGGCCTTGGGCAGGCAGGGTACTGGCGTGCAGACCCCGTGTGAGAGGTAGACACCAGGACTTCTGCAGAAATCGTTGTGTGTCAGAAAGCCGTCTTCATATGAGCTCCCTTTGGGTGTGTCTCAGTCTTCTCACAGCCTTTCCCTTGGTAGCTCTATGGCTCAGCTCTCTCTTCTCTTCTAAGGAAGGACACCGCTCAGATGTAGGCCCACTGTAAATCTAGGATGAGATCATCCTGAGATCCTAAACTTGATTATATCTGCAAAGACCCTATTTCCAAATAAGTTCACATTCATGGGAGGTGGGAGGGGAGGGACAGCAGTTAGATGTACCCATTGGAGGCGGGGAGGGAGATTTCAATCCACTACAGTAGATTTGGGGTGAGACTCAAAATATTCCATTTTCCCCAAAATACAGAATGACTCTTTGCACTCTTTGCTCCTAAAATGACTCTGATGCAGGTGATCTATAGATCATATTCTGCGAAACATTTAATCCAGTTGCTGAGGATTCAAAAATGAACAAGACATGGTCCCCTCCCTTGGAGAACCTACTGTCTAGTGCAGTGGTCGCCAACCTTTCAGACCTCACGGACCTTTCGGACCTCACGGACCACCAGTTGGTGACCGCTGGTCTAGTGGAAGATACAGACAGATGCACAGATGATTAAAATACACAGTGTGGCCTAGTGATGCCAAGCTCCGGAGTCAGAAAAACCAGGGATCCAACTCTGCGCCTCTGGCTGTGAGGCTCCAAGCAAGTTGTTAGCCTGTCTGAGCCACAGCCTCCTTATCCATAAAATCAGAAATAATTTATCCCTCACACCATTATGAGAACGGGCCGTGTGAAATGCTTAAGATCGAAAATGGACCTAAATCGTCATTAGCTATTGCGAAGGTGGGAAGCATTTTGATTCATTTTCCCATCCCCCAGCCCCTCGCTGTGTCTTCCACATCCTAAGCCTTTAATGAATGCCTGTGGAAGGGAAGAAAGCATAAGTCTGGGATAGGCAAGACATGTCCTGGATCTCAACTTATTCTGCAAGCATTTTCTGAGCACCTTGTGTGTGTGGTGCTCCATGTAGGCCACTGGAAGAAAGCCAAACAAAACACACAGCCTAGCAGGGGGGCCACTAGGTTACAATATAGTACACCTCCTTCCTTTGGTTTTCCAACCTTCATATTCCATTCTTTTGTATTTCCTTGGTATTCGTATCGTTTGGGAAGGCCCCTCCCAAACTATAGCATATGCTCCAGGAGTCCTTTGATGGCAAGAAAGGTTCTGTCTTCGCCACTGAATCCCAAGGACCTGGCAATGAACCTGACTCCTAGGCATCCGGTGAGCATCTGTGGGTGTGGTGAATATTCTGCTGCTATTCCAGAGTCCAACACTGGACTCCTATGAAGAACCATCTCCAGCTTCCTGAACTGCTGGGTATGATTCTTGATGGGCCAAGAGAACAGATGCCCAGAGAATCTATCCCTTGACATAAAGCCTGAAAAGTTGGGGGAGATGGGGACAGACTGCAATACAATGGATCATAATGCTGTACAGTTAGCAGTTTCCAATTACTAGACCAAGAGTAAACAAATTAAACTACGGAAGAAGCTCTGACATCTCATTCCTCTTCAGAACTGCAACGCTTTGCACGCACGAGACATTAAGGGCTGTTCCCGGGCTGACCTGGAGGCCCAGAGGACGTTCAGAAGAGCAAGTCATCGCGCTGCATGTGTGCACTGAATAAGGAAAAGAAGCCCCCTGCGCCTCGGGGACGGAGGGTAATTCTCAGGAGGGAGGGAAGAGCACACTTCCGGTGGATGGCCAGCCTGCCTAGGTGACATGGGTGACTGCATCACAGGACCAGCAACCTGTGAGAAGGAGACATCAGCAAGCCCTCCCACCTGGGGAGGTCAGGGAGCCCCTCTCGAGTCAAAATCTCTAAAGGTGGACTGAGGAGGAAATTGGATAAGAGTCCAAAGCACTGACCCAGCGTCATGTGATTATGACAAATAGCGGGGCGTGGTGTTCTCTGCTTCCACAAATCCAACGACTCCGCACCTGTTTCCTTTGGTAGGCCCACAGTAAACCCATGTGGATTTCATCGAGGGGTGAATGAATGGAGGCTAACGAGGACCCTGAACTCCCCCACCCAAAGCTCCATTGCAGGGAAGGCCACCTGGCCCAGTGTTGCCCCAGGGCCCGGATTTCCCCGGCACCACCTTCCCACTTCAGCGTCGGGCGTCCAATCGCTTGGCTCCAAAACTGGCTACTAGGAAGGCAGGTGGGGCTTGGCGCCCTCTCCTCCCTCCCGGATCCGGGCTCCACGCTCCAATCCCGGGCCCAGCCCTGCGGAGGGAAGGCCCCTCCCTCCCCACGGGCTGTCACCAGATGGCGTGGAGGAAAGTGGCCCGGGCTAGACCGGGAAGAGCGGAGGAGCAGCGCACCTGGCGGGTCGCGCAGGGCCGGGCGCGGGGGGCCCCCGGTGCACGTTCCCCCCGCTCCGTGCGCGCGTCCCCGCCCGGCTCGGCCACCCGGGGGGCACGGCCTGGGACCGGGGGCCGCTCGCCCAGCCCTTCCCGCCTGGCCGGCGCCGCGGCCTCACCTCGCTCACCAGCCCCTGCCAGTCGCTCTCGGTGCGGTCGCCGTTCATGGCCTCCTGCTGCAGGCGCGGGCGGGCTGCAGGGACGCCGCCCTCCGCCGCCTCCTCCTCCTCCTCCTCCGCCTCCACCTCCCGCACCGCCGCCGCCGCCGCCGTCGCCACCGCCCGGCCCCGCGAGGCCTGGAGCCTCGAGCCGCTGCGCCGCCGCCTCCTGCGGCCGCCCGCGCTGTCGCCTCCACGTCAGCCTCGGCGGGAGGAAGGGGAGGAGGAGCCGGGCCCTGGCGGCCGCAGCCACAGCCCCGCCGGCCCGCCCGGCGCAGCCCGGACCCCGCCGGCCGCCCCCGGCCCGCCCGGGGCTCTAGGGAAGGGGCGGCCGGGTCTCAGCCCGGAGGTAACCCCTGACCCCAGCACTACCTCTCTGCAGGGCAGGAGGAGGGCTGGGCAGGCACCAGTGTGTCTCCCACAAGAAGCGCATCCCCAAATCCTGCCCTTTCTGGACCTCCATCAGCCCCCTCACGATTCTCTTCCAGCCCCACCGGGCTTGGCTCTGCTCTCTGATGTAAAGCACATTCTACAAAGATTTATTGAACATCTGAATGAGTGAACCACGTGTTCTATATTTAACATTGTTTTTCAAGCTACTACGGTTTATTTATATTTATTTCTTAAATGACCAGCTGTCATAAATAGAAAGAACATGTAAAAGTGAACAGTAAAATGATATTGAATTCTAAATAGGTCCAAAAGCTGAGCGTGATGCTTAACACTTGGCAGGAGAGGGGTTAAGACGTATCCCGGACAAACTGAGACTTCCTCTAAGTCAGAGGAAGGACTGAAAGCTGGTGGCAGGGCAGGTGAGTCTCACAGGAGTTTGTCATTCAAGGTGCTTTTCCTGTGCCACCTAAACCCCTCTCGGGGACCATCCCCAACAGTGAGCCTTTTGTACCTGCACAGCCCTGCCTGCCTGTGGAGATGAGCAGGTAGGTTGAGAGAAGCTGTGAACCCATTTTGCAGGTGTCAATCACCACTGCCAATATTTATTTATTACTTTTAGCCCCTATTGATCCTGGATCAACCCTATGAGGTAGATGTTATCCGCATTTATCTGATGGGGAAGCAGAGATTCAACTAGGACATCTGGCTCCAATAGGCCCTCTTCAGCATCTTGGAAATCTACCAACGAAGTATCACCCTTGGGAGTTGCAGAGATTGGGACTCTGATGTTGGCCTTGTTTTGTTGATGTGGTAGATTGTTTGCAAAATGGTGTGAATACTTTCCTGCCTGTATCCCAGCCATTGTCTGTAACTTTGACCCTTGGCTCAGCCATGTGACTTGCTTTGGCTGATGCAATGTTTGCAAACGTGCTACACAAAGAGGCCTGCAAACACCTGTGCAGACTTATCCTTGCTTATGTCCTTGGGAACCTGTGATCCCCACCATAGAAACAGGCCCAGAAAAGCTTGTTGGAGGATGAGGGACTCATGGCCAACTCAGTTGCCACATATGTGAGCGAGGCCATTGACCCCCAGCTGCCCTGGATGAAACCAGCAGAAGAACCACCCAGCTGAGCTTTGCCCAGTTTGCTGCCCCACAGGTCACAGGCTACATAAACTGATGTGGTTTTAAGCCAGTGATGTTTGGGAGGGTTTGCTATAGATCAACACATAACTGATACAAATGGTGACAGTAGCTGAAGAGCCTGGATGGCCTCCCTGGCAGCACTTGAAAAGCCACAGCCCCTGGCATCCCGACCTGCTGGGTCCTCATCTAAAGAAGATTCTACAACAGATTCTGGCAGGCCAGGGACTAGGAGACTGCCCGTCAGCACCTTTATTCTGTGCCTGTTGTATACAAATCCTATACTCACCCGGGGTTCAATAGCATTGCAGACCATAGTCCCTGTCCTGGGGCCTATGGGGTTTGCAATCCTTACCATCGAGGTTTTGCTCTAGGGAATAAAAAGAGAGAAAAGGGGGCTAGAATGCAGCTAAGGCTTCTGACCATGCTGGGCCACCTAATCTATTCTCTTTTTAATCCAAGGAAGCGGAAAGAAGGTCATCCCTGAACTGAACATCTAGGGTTAACTCAGCGCCAAGCTCCTGTTCTTAACAGCCTGATGTCTCATGCTAAGAAGCAGGTACTGTCTGCCAATATATTGCCCTCTGGCAAACCATCTGGTTTCCTTCTGACCTGTCGATGAAATAGACTGTAGGAAGAGTGGACATAACTTGGTCCATCTGCCTTCTGCTGCCTGTGCCTTGCTCTCAGCTGGCATTCAGGTGGGAAAGCAGCCTGCCCCTTCCAGTTACCACGTTTAGCTGAGGCTTTCAGTACCGCTGCTCCTTGGCAACGGTCACTGATACTTCAGGCCGTCAGCTGCCAAGGACTCTTACATTAGAGGCCACGTACCTCTGTGTGGAGTCATTTCTCCAATTTGCTTTCCTTCTCTGAAGTAAGTCAGCCAGTGTTTAAGGTATTTTAAAATAAAATTAGGGCCCAGTCGGTGTGTCTCAGTGGTTGAGCATTGACCTTTGAACCAGGAGGTCAGGGTTCAATTCCCAGTCAGGGCACATGCCTGGGTTGCGGGCTCAATCCCCAGTGTGGGGCATGCAGGAGGCAGCCGATCCATGATTCTCTCTTATCGTTGATCTCTCTCTCCCTCTCCCTTCCTCTCTGAAATCAATAGAAATATATTTTTTAAAAACAAATATAAAATTGGGGAGGAAAATCAAAGAGTGGCAGGCCTCTTCCCTCCCCAGCCTGTGGAGAAACTTCTAGCTCAGTTGAACAGCATCTCCAGGAGCTGGATCCTCCTTAGAGGTTTCATGCCCCACCTGCCAGCTTGAACCTGCCTCGCTTCTGAGATGTGATGAAATCACAAACCAAGGCAGTGTTGCTGCGAGCGATTCTTTTTTATCTCTTTTCATTTATGGAGCCTGACATTGAGTAATAATAATAATTAAATGCCATTTAAGCTTTTAGGCACCTATACCAGAAGGCCTCTAGACACCTCATCAAGAGCAGCCCAGGCTGACGAAAACAAAGCTAATTATATTGTTGGTTAGCTTTTTTCTTTAAAAAAATGAAAAATAAGGAAAACTGCTGACCAACTTTCCTTACCTCTGATGAAAGCAGTACATTAAATGCTTCATCCGACAGTCCATTTGCACAGAACCAGTTTAAAACCAGCTGCCCTTGACTTGAATTTCCCTCCTGGAATTAAGTATTAACACGTGACTCTAGCCTCTATTTTCTTCCTTCCTTTGTTTTAAAGTTAAATTTCATTGTATTTGCTGTAGAAAGAAGCTTGTAAAATCTCCCATGGCCTGGGTAAATTGTTATAAATATTTTAGCTAATTTCTCACGTTTTTCTATGCATTTATTTGGGAGGGGTGTTGATTTTTTACTTTGGTGTGTTTATCCTATATTTTCTACCCTTTTGTAAATGTAAAATAAAAGTGCTATTAATAGCAATTACCTATCTTGAAAGCCCACATTAGAAGGGTTTATTTCTTTTTTATTTTTCAAATACAGTTCACATTCAATATTATTTTGTACTAGAGGCTCAGTACACAAAATTTGTGCAATCGAGGGGGTCCCTCAGCCGGGACTGCACCCTCTTGCAGTCCGGGAGCCCCCAGGGGATGTCCGACTGATGGCCTAGCGCTGCCACAGAGGCAGGAGAGGCTCCCGCCACTGCAGCTGCGTTCGCCAGCCATGAGCCCGGCTTCTAGCTGAGTGGCGCTCCCCCTGTGGGATTGCACGGACCTCCAGGGGGCAGTTCCTGCGTTGTGTGTCTGCCCCTGGTGGTCAGTGTGCATCATAGCGACCAGTTGTTCTGCCGTTCGGTCCATTGCATATTAGCCTTTTATTACATAAGATTATGGACTATCTTCCATATGCTATACTTTACATCCCCGTGACTATTCTGTAACTACTAATTTGTACTTCTTAATCCCATCACCTTTTTCACCCCACCCCCCAATTCCTCTCCCCTCTGGCAACCATCATTCTGTTCTCTGTATCTATAAATCTGTTTCTGTTTTGCTTGTTCATTTATTTTTCAGCCTCTATTTTCATGTTCCCTTAGCTCCCTGAGAAATCTCTAGGGACCCAATTTTTCCATATAAATTCGTAGCCCCAGGGCCAGTTTTATTTATTTATTTCTATGCACCTATATTGGTAGAAGAAAGTGCTGGGATGCTTTTGAATGATGCTTTTCACTTTCAAATGTTGGAGAGGGGTTTAGATGTGGAAACTCCAAAAATAGCTTGATCTAAGACATTAAACCAGCAGATACTGGTGACAACAAAAGAAAACAAAAAAGAAATCTCTGGAGAGACTGGGAAAGGGCGACGTGAACTTTTTGTTACAAACCTGAGCCTCTTGTTGCAGGTTTTCTACTGATTTGCAGGTTGACTCTGGCCAAGTCTCAACAGCCCCAGACACACGGGGGAAAACCCTAAAGCGTTTGACACAACTTCTCTCGACAGTATTTTCAGTTCAAATTCTGGCTGCCCAAGCAAAAATGTCAGAGTTCTCATTAAAGGAAACGAAGCAAGTCTGCAGGAGAGGTTTTTGGCTCGGTTTTTCTCTGAACCATGCAGCTGGGCAGTATTCACGGCCACTCCCTTCCCAGGTCACTTTTCTCCTGCCTGAATGAAGAAACCAAGGCTGATGGGCCTGGGAAGAAAATGATTCATAATGACTGTGGTTTATAGTGGTAGATACAGATTTTTTTAATTAGCTCCATGAGAGCCAAGGTCCCCAATTCTTGCTCTTGTCAAGGGAGGGCCATTTTGACAGGTCCTGCCAGGAGCCCCCCTGGGCTGGTTGCTAAATGCCTTCCTTTGTTCATGATCTCATCCGGGGTCAGGGGACTGCAGGTGCCACAGTGCACTGCGGTCACGGTCACGCTTCCTGCAGAGCCCGGAGACCTGAGGTCCCCTGGGCCACTGGCCTCAATTCTATAAAAGATAAACCTCCTCTCTTCCCCCTACCTGGGGACACTCTGCAAAGGGCCTCATCCATTTTTCTCCCAGGGCTGGCAGCCAGACAACAGACAGACAGGCAGGGGATCCTGGCCTGGTTCCTGACTCAGAGCATCCTCTGTCTCTTAGTCCCCTGAGCTCTTGGGCCCTCACTCTGCCCGCACTAAGCCCTCCCTGCCCAGCAACAAACAATCAGTTGCTGGCTGCTGCCTCCCTGCCCCGCTGGCTGCCAATCAGCCCAGCAACAGGGGGTGGAAGTAAGTTCCACTCCCCACTGAACCACCAGGAGGTGCTCAAAATGACTGAGTGGGGCTGATGACAGCCTGGCAGGCTGGGGACCCGCAATTGTCATCCTGAGGTGGCCCAGGCTTGGGCGTGATTGGCTGGGGTGTTGTGGGGTAAGGGGTGGGGACTAGGGGGAGCAGAGGGGCAGCTCCTTCTACCGATGGAAGAGTTCCAGGAGGGGGAACCTACAGGAAAGGGCGATCTGCCCGCTGAGGCCAGATAGGAAAGGAAAGACAAAGGGAGATGTAGCCCAGGGCTCCTGATGAGAAGCCAGAAAATCAAGAACCAGGGGGAGAAATGGGAAAGCAGGGGTGGGTGGGAGAAAGACAACTCAGGCTCCAGGGGGAGTGGAGTGAGCAGTGGCCCAAGGAAGGAGTTAAATGGAAGAGAGACAGGGAAAGTCACTCGCCTCTCAGATTATTCAAATTTATTGTACTTATTGATAATGAATTTCATTTCTTCTGCATGGGGGGGATATGATTCAGCACAAATTTGATGTAAATTTATGGAAATGTAGGTGCACAGAGGCTGCGGGCAGGAGCTGCCGGCGGGCAGGTTGCCTGGCCCTCCCAGAGGCGAGGTTACCGCTCTCTGGACTTGGGGAGCCGGAAATAGAAGCAGCCACCTTGGGGGCCACTGGCCTCAACTTCAGGCCAAGAGAGGGGCTGACCCTGTCGCTCTGGAAGGGGTAAAAAAAGAAGTCTGATGGCCGTCTACAGTAGAATCACCTACGTTGTCCTCCTGTTTGATTTTTTGTCTTGGGGTGGGGGGTGGGGTGGGGGAAAGGAGCAATTTTTATTCAGTGGAGAGGATCAGGGGAGAAAGAAGAAGAAAATTACCATTAACTAGAACCTACTGTGTACACAGAAGTGGCTAGAGAAGTGACAGAAATGTTGTTTTCCCCTCTGCACTATGAAAGAATAATGGGGCTTGGGGAGGGGAAAAAACAAAAAAACAAAGAAAACAATTTGCTAGAAAGGGTGAAAAGGTGGCATTGCATATAAATGGCCAGAGCTGGTAAAATATTTATTGTCCATTAACCTGTCCTTCACAGCACTGAAGGCTGATTTTTATCTTCCCCCCTCAAACCAGGTCACGACATTTATCTAAAGATGCGCCTCTCCCAGCGGGTCGCAGCCTCTCCAGCCTGGCCATGACCATGACAGTGACAGCAAAGAGGACCGTTCTTAGTGTGGGGGTAGCCTCTCTTGACCAGGCCTCCCTCTGCAACTGGAATTGCAGTGACACAGGAGATTCAAGACAGCAGAGACCCGCCAGGCCAAGGGTCTCACTGTCCCTTCATCCCATTAGACAGGTATTCTCGCTTTCTGCCAAAGCTGCGATTCCTTTCAATGTTCAAACAGTTGTGGGCCCCCGAGCTGCTGCATGCGGCTTGCCTGGTCTGGAGGAAGACAAAGAGGTGGTTAGCTGCAGCTCACAGCCTGGGTTTGAAACAGGCATGTTTGAGCGAGTGTTTCAAAGGATGGCAGTGATCTGCTCATTTTTATTACATTCTTGGGGCAGAATTTGTCAGCCCTTGGTGACACCCATTATAATGCTTTGACCTCATTCAGTCACCAAAGGGCAGATTTCTCTTTGTTCTCTAACAGAAACACAACATGGCAAGTAAACGTGAGTTCTAAAACGAGACTGTCACCAGGGGTATTTATGAGCCTATCATGTCTCCGCTGTTGCACTGAGAAGCTCACCTTTGGAGAAGGAGGCATATATGTGCCCCTTATGGGCCCTCGTGTGACACAGTGGTTGCTATTTATGAACCCTGTTTATTCCCACGAGACAGGAGGAGTAATCTTAAGGTGATATAAGAGAGACTTAGGAGGCTTTCTTTTAACATTATAGGGTCATTAATTCACTTGACAAACAATTGTGTTTTTATTTTTAAATTTTTTAAAAAAATTTTAAATCCTCACCCTATTGATTTTAGAGAGAGGGGAAGGGAGAGAGAGAGAGAAACATCAATTGGTTGCCTCCTGTACAAGCCCCAACTGGGAATCAAACCTACACCCTAGGTATGTGCCCCGACCCGTAATGGAACCCGCAACCTTTCGGTGAAGAGGACGACACTCCAACCAACTGAGCCAAAGCACAACAAACGTTTCTTGAGCATTTGTACGCTGAGCTGGGCCATGGGGATGACAACCAGGCTTGGACCTGGCTCTGTCCTCGAGGCTCTTTGTCCAGCAGCCTCAAGCAGCTGAGCTCTACAGGAACACAGAGAAATGCTCCAGGACCGGCCTCTTCAGCTAGGATGTCACCCAGGCTTCAAGGGCCAGGAATGGACCGTGGAAGCTGGGTCCATTTGGTACACTTAGCATGGTTAAAATGGCAAATGTTATGTTATATCTATTTTTCCATAATAAAAAAATAGTAAAAGAAAAAACTTTGAGAGAGAAAAAAAACCCCTCAGAAAATGAAAAACCAGGTAGGTCCATGTGGAAAGCTGGGACGGGGCAAGATCAAAGACACAGAGGCACAGAAAGCACCCTTTGGCCAGTTTACTCACAAATGCCAGAGTGTTTAAAAACGAGGAAGCAATGACCCCTTTCCAAAGTGAAGGGAGGAGTAATTGGACAAGAACTTTAGAAAGGGGGCCTAGGTAGAAGCAAGGAGTGTGCAAGCTAGGACGTCTTCACCTCTCTGTGACTTATCCTCATCTATACCGTGAGCAGATTGGGCCCGATGACCTTGAAGATCGGTGACTATGAAATAAAAGCAGAATTTTCCATTTGAATGGAACTCTGTACAAAAGGTTAGTGAAGGTGATACTCATATCATCCAAGAGAGTTTACAGTGCCATAGAGCGTTAGAAGTGTGAGGAATCTTAGCAGTCTGGACCCTTATTATACAAGAGAAGAAACAGAGGCCCAGAGTGGTAAAGGTCACAGAGCTTGTAGGGACAGAGCTATGGCGCGAGCCCAGACTTTGGATTCCCCGTGCCCTGCCTCTTTCACAATGCTTACAGGTTGGCAATATTTGAGGTTCCTAAGAGCAGAATTCTGGTTGTCTATTGCTAGTCAATAAACTGCCCCAAACCAGTGGCTTAAATATTAATTTATCACTGTCTCTTGTGGTTTTGTGGGTTGACTGGGCTCAGGTGGAGTCTCCCAGGTAGAAGTCAGATGGAGGCTGGGGCTGCGGTCCTCTGAAGACATGGCTGGGCTGGATGTCCCAGTCGGCTCACTCACATGGCTAGTAGTTGATGCTGGCTGTCGGCTGGGAACTCAGATGACTGTCCACTGGAGCACCTACTCATTCTCTCTGTGTTGGGCTTCCCACAGCATGGCCCCTGGGTTCCCAGAGGGAGCTGCCCAAGGACAAGTGCTTCCAGGGAATGGAAGTGTGTCTCAGTCCATTCTGGTTGCAATAACAAAACACCATGAACTGGGTAACTTAAAATCAACAGAAATGCATTTCTCACAGTTCTGGAGGCTGGGAAGTTCAAGGTCACGATGCAGGCAGACTCAGTGTCCAGTGAGAACCCACTTCCAAATGGCCATTTTCTTGCTGTGATCTCACGAGGTGGAAGGTGAGCTCTCTGGGATCTCTTTGATAAAGACATAAATCCGAGACATGAAGGCAGAGCATGCATGACCTAATCACCTCCCGAAGGATCTCCTAATACCATCACCTTGGGCTTAGAATTTCAACATATGGATTTTGAGGGGACAGAGACATTCAGACCACAGCGAAGTGGAAGTTGCCAGTCCTCTTAAAAGTGAGTTCTGGAATTGATATAGAGTCACTTCTACCATATCCTTTCGGTCACAGTTCCTCCTAAGCCAGCCAGATTCAAGAGGGCAGATAAATAGACTCCACTTCTAGATGGAGTTGAAATGGAGTCACATGCAGGGAGAGGAAAATTTAATGGTTCCCAGCTTTGGAGACAAGCTACCATAGCAGCACTTTTGATTTTTACCACAAATTATCCTTTGGATGCCCTGTGTGGAAAAAAGAATACTAGGCAGGTATTCTTGCTATTCAATGAACTGCCCCAAACCAGTGGCTTAAATATTAATTTATCACTGTCTCCTGTGGTTTTGTGGGTTGACTGGGCTCAGGTGGAATCTTCCAGGTATAAGTCAGATGGAGGCTGGGGCTGGGGTCCTCTGAAGACTTGTCTGGGCTGGATGTCCAAGTTGGCTCTACCAAAGGATATGGTAGAAGTGACTCTATGTCAATTCCAGAACTCACTTTTAAGCCTGACATTTTTATCTTAATGGAAATAAAATCAATTGAATTCCGGCCTCAGTACAAGTGTTTGCTTGTTTATTTGTTTGTTGTTTGTTTGTTTTAAAACCTACCAAATCAGGGATCACTTAAGCCAAACCATGACATAGCAAGTCCCTAAAGAAATACTCAAATGAGGAATGCATGGAGGCATCTAGTGTGAATAGAAAGGTGGAACCAGAAGTGCTAGGCATTGAAATACTGAAAGACCCTCATCTCCCTTTATTATGAAAAGCAGGGAAGTAGAAAAGAGTATCTTAGCTCTGCTAAAAATAAACTCCTTGAGGGCAGGGATGATGCCACATTCATTTCTGTATTCCTAATGGCTGGGCTAGTGCCTAGCATGTCGTAGGTGCTTAATTAATGCTTAATAAATTGAGCTCCATTGAAGTACCATTCTTCTCAATAATAATGTAAACTAGCATTTATTGCCATATGCCAGGCATTTTTCTAAGCACTTGACACGTGTCATCTCATCTAATCTTCACAAAACTGTATAAATATTCTGTAATTATCACAGGCCTGATATTCAGCAGGTGAAAGTCAGGGAAGCCTGGTTGATTGTTGAAATATTAAAATGCTTCCATATAGGTTGGTAATTTACAGCTTCTCTGTATCCCTTGAATGAGCCCCTCACCTCATACCTCTTCCCCACTGAACACCCCAGCCCAGGAGAGACCCCGGTGGGCACTATCAGGGGTAGAGAGCCCTGAGTGCTCCCTCCACAGTGGTCATGCGTCTCCCTGGCCTGATTGGACCAACTCTAAAGGAGTAGACAGAACCCTGGCTAATGTGTTGATGGCACCTCAGCAGATACATGCTCGGTGCCTGTCTAGCCACCCAAGACTGGAATGAATCTTTAAGAATGAATGGACCTAGAGTCACCCTCCAGTGGCCACAGGTGGATTCGGCAGCTTCTGTAGCGCACCTAATGGGCTGTTAAATATCTTGAATATCACTCCTGATTATCTACATGTTAGAGAAAAGGAAGTTGAGAATTTTAAAGAGTTTTTAAATGACTTAACCAAAGTCACATAGCTAGGATGGGTGGATCCAGGATCTGTGCACTGCCCCCAAGATCCATGCACTCTGCTATTACATGATCCTCTATGTTAGTTGGCTCAGGCTGCTGTTAACAAAGGACCACAGGCTTCAAACAACAGAAATGTATTGTCACACAGCTCAAGAGGCTAGAACTGTGAAATAGAAATTGGCTGTTGGTTTTCTCTGAAGGCTGTGAGGGAAGGATCTGTTCCAGGCTTCTCTCCTTGGCTTATAGATGCCCATCTTTTCCCAGTGTCTTCCTTCTATGTGTATCTGTTTCTGTCCAAATTTCTCCTTTTTATAAGGACACCTGTCATATTGGATTAGAGGCCCACCTTACTCTGCTATGACCTCATCTTAACTAATTACATCTGCAATAATGCAATGATCCTATTTCCAAATAAAGTCACATTCTGCAGTACTAGGAGGGGAGAGGGGGAAGGGGCATACAATTCAACCCATAACAGCTGTTTTCTTTTCAATGAGACTTCCCGAATCTCTGCATAACAAACTTAACTAGGCATTTACATAAATTATCTGGGTCCACTAGCCTCTCAATGGGTGCTTAACCATTCCTAACCCCTCCCCCAACCACCCCCACCACCCCCCCACACACACACACTACTTCAATCAGAAGTTGTTTGAATTGGTGCTACTCAGCAACATTTGCCCTTCCCCCATGCAATCCATATCTTTCTATTGTGTCAATAGAATGGATTGTCCCAATCCATTTTGGTATCTAGTGGAAGGCACCAAGATGAGGTGTTTTTACTCATTTTATTCCTTTTTTAGTGCTCCTTCAATGTCCTTAAGCTTGTTGCTTGTGTGCCTGGCACATGAGGTCAGCTCTTGTGCCTTCAGTAGTTCAGTGAACTCTGCAGCTCAACAGATCCTGGAACTGCTGATCATGTATAGTGCCGCCTTCTGAGTCCCAAGGAGATACCTCAAAGGCCTTTCCCAGGAAGTGCTATGGGAAGCATTGCCTTTGGGACTCTTCTTTCACCAGGAGCTTCAGCTATATTCTGTGTGTGAGATGCTCGTCTGGTTTTCTTGCACACTCCTTTCAAACAGACAGTAACCTTGGTCTTAGATGCAGTGTCCTCGGACTTGGAAACTCATTGGACCAAAAATGTCTACAACTTATTTTTCCCCTTAGATTCTCTTTTTTATTATTGATTTTCCATTTTTAGCACAAGATTGATCACCAGCCAAATACCAATTTACATACAAATTCTGCTAAACTCAGCATCCTATATACTTGAGACTTTTTCATCCATAAACCAATTTTTTAAAGAGAGAGATTCTATTATCAGAAGTGTCCCTGGTGACATCAAGATGGCCTATAGGGAGCAAGCTCAGGGGGCCCTCAGCCTGGTGGGGTGAGCTCAGCTGATTTGTGAGCATAATAGCTATGAAGTCAATGTTGTAGGTTGACACCATATGGGCAAGTTCATCTTTTTCTTACTTCTATGGCCATAAGTTTTAACTGCAAACCTTGGTCAGCTATCTTACAATTTCACTCAATAATATTTAACAAATGGTCTTTGAGTACCTACTATGTGCCTGGCTCTGTTTCAGTACTGGGATTAGAGCAGGAAACAAGAAGGACATGGGCCTTATCCCCATGATGTCTACAGTACAGTGGTGAAGCAGATATCA